CCCCCCCCCCATTCAGTAGATTAATTTAGAGACATGATGCAGCACAGACCCCAGGGACATAATGCTTTGTACTTGTACATAGGACCAGTTGGGTTTCAGGGGTCACTTTTAATTTATCGATCTTAGACGAGGAAAATTGATTTAGCTTCTAATGGCCTGAAGCAGACAGGAAGCAGCTGCACAGATATGAAAAGAGAGAGAAGAGGAATGCTTTTTGTTCTTATTTTCCTCCTGATACTTAGTGCAGTGACTTTATAATGTATTTTTTATTTTGAATGTCAGCTAAAAGCTCTGAGCAGCAGCTCTCGTGACATCATCACTACTCTCCACCTCATTGGTTCATTGAGTGACATCATCAAGCAGCCTCTGTTGCAGCGTAGACTCGGCTGTCCAACCGAACGCAGCACCGCCCATCACCAAGATGTACATAGGTCCAAAACAGAGTTAATATATGAGAAGGAAAAAAATATAGATACACAAGAAAGAAAAGAAACTTCTGTTTTTGTTGTTTGTTTGGAGTGATTTGAGGTTGTTTTTACTCACAAAAGCCATTTTAAACCACTTTTGTTTTTCTACCGGTTATTTTTACATTTGTTTGTTTTGTATGTGAAACACCTCTTGTACACTTTGCTCTTGATTTAAAAGGAAACGAGAATGGGAAGACTTAAAACGCCTGCATTAGAGTCAGCACTTAGGTTTCTGATTGTCTCAGCAAATCATTTTATGTAATGACCTGATGTGTAAAAAAATAAGACTACAGTTCAGAACCTGGTCGGTTGTTTCTGGATTTTTCTAAGGAACAAAAAGTCTTTTCTCCATCTTGGTGGTCTCTGGCTGAGCAGAGCGTTCATCACCAAAACCCCCGTTACCTCTCCTCATCTCCACTCGTTTACAACTTAGAGAACTAGTTTGGCAGCAATGAAGTGGGTTTTTACTGAAACATTCTGAATGATAAATATCTTACCTGTTGTAGACAGCGCTTTGAAAGATTTCTGTTTGGAAAAACTAATTTACATCTGACAGGACCGACGAGCTAATGGCTAGTTTGAACAGGGCCATGGACTAAAGCTGATTTTTAGTTATAAAATCCCAAATTTCAAAATGAGTGATCTTCATTTTATGTGACACCTGTTGATTGTGAGTTATACGGTCATTTTGGCGGAAATATTAGCAAATTCCAGTCTGTCATGATTCTTGAATGTCATCTGCAGCTGCCTCTGTTTAAGCTGATAAAACCTGTAAAAAGACAGGTTTTATCAGTATATAATACCTGATAAAACCTGGTATTTATGTAATAACTGTGAAATTGTTATTTTAGACTGTGGAACTAGTCATTAGCTCATCAATGCTATCAGAAATTTTCTCCATGCTGAAATTAAATTGAGAAGCCATCTTAAACAGGTAAGATACTTGAGTTTTCCTCACAGCTCCTCACTTAAATCTAGCCAAATTATTCCTTCAAAGGCATTAACGCGACCCGTTCATGGAGCAGAATGTGAGAGAAAATAAAGTTTTACATTGTCGAGCGGACTTGGCGTACTTGTACTCGTTGAGTTTTGTTGTTGAAGCTCGTCGGGGTCTTCCCTGCTCTTTTTGTCAGAAAGGGAAACGTTTAAAAAGTTGGTCATTTCTGCTGCTGCGTTCATTCAAACCCAATGCAGAGTTCAGCAACTCGTTCAAAGTATTATGTTTGTTTTATTAGTTTATTTTATATATATATATATTTGGTTTTATTTTCAAACAACCACATCTTGGAAATAGTTTGTAGTTTTATCTGGAGCTAGAACGTAGAACGTGTTGGCTAAAGGACGAGGAAACATTTTAATATTCAACCGATTCCAGACTTTCCCGTTAACAAAAGCGAGGAAGAGAAACTCAGGAAAAGTCCAAACTTAAATTTAATGTATGACATCTGGAAGAACCTGGCTGATGGGGGGAGACGACATGGTTGGGGGTAATGTTTAATTTGAGGGGGCCATATATAT